TTTTTAATAACTTACTTACAATTTAAATTCCACTCATGTAATAAATTATTCATATTAAAATATATATTTTTCTTTTTCAAAAAATTCATTTATGAACAATATCAGGATCTATGGTCTTTCCAAATGTCTGCCTCTTTTCTCTGGTGTCACACACCTTCCATGGTGGAGATGGTTCCCTCTGCACAAGGATGACAGTCATAGCAGCAGATGGGCATCCCCTCCTGAGGCACCTTTCTAAATCCAGGATGACAGCTTTCCACACACCTGGAAGGAGGCAGGGGCTGAGGAGAGAGAGGAAACGGAAAATGAACTTGGTTTCAAAACAATGTCAAAGAAAGAAGGTTTTGCTGATTTGGTTCAACAATTAGCTTTGACTAATCAGAAGCCAATAGGAAATTTGAACTTCATAGAACACGATTCCATATCCATCATTGTTCTATTACTTTCTCATACTCACCACAAATTTAGACTTTCAAATTAAGTTTCAATGTTAACTTTATCAGGGCAATGTTGGAGGGACTCTTTTCATGGTCCGCTGAATAATCAGCAAATAAAAAGTTTGCACCTTTGACAGCCTGGTCAGTTGACATGAAAACTCAAAGCAAGCTCCTTCCCACCCCCAAAATTTAATCCTGTTGCACTTTCTGTGGAAGTAATATAAATATTTGTCCCACCTTATTCAGTATTTCCATCTGTGTGATACTCTTCTGGTCAATGGAAAATTTCAAATCCTGGGATGTCCGTTTTTTTAGCATCCCTGATTTAATTCTCTTGACAGATTTGTTTGAGAAAACAACCCAGTTCACAATGTCCAGGTCAGCTGTCAGATCTCCCTTTTCATCCAAATATACTCCTTCTATTGAATGATTGTGAAACTCTGAGCCTTGAAGGAAGGAATGAAGCTGAAATGCAAAGGAAAAGGAGAATTTAGAAAGGACATTAGACATTCTTTGAAAATACCCTTTGGTCTTCGCTAGGAAGGATCTGAATATTTCTTTCTCTGTTTTCAAATACCAGATTCTATTTTCTGTTTCCAACTTGTTTGGATGAGTATCAACAAACCTAGGAATAATAATAGCTATAAATTAGATCAATGGCTGTAATGGTCAGGAGTCTTGGAATCTAATCATGTTCCTCTTCCCAGTGCTTTATCCCAGAATTGCTAACATATAATTCTTCTAAAGGCAAATAAAGAATATTTTTTATTCTATTAACCTAAAATTAATTGACAAATATTAAAATATTAGTACCTTGATATCTGTCAGGCAGGAAAAACATATCTAATTGAAAAGAAATACCTGCCATGCCTTCACTCTTGGAGCTTCCACCTTCACCCCCATGTTCCNCATGTTTCTTTCTTTTCACATCCAGAGAAACATTCTGCCTTTTCAATATTTCTTAAGATATTTCATTTTGTTCTGGGAGAGGGCTGGATGATAACTTCCCACAATACAGAAACTCTCACTGTGTATAAAATATTTTCATGTAATTTGCAGCTGCTTATTAATGTTATGTTTAGCAGGTTTTCTTTTCCATCAAAGATGGAAAAGGCTGAAGGCCCCCGAGGACTTTTGCAGCTGACTCTACAACTTTTATAGTCAATGGCTGAGGTTAGAAAAGCACACTAAAACCCAAATGTTGCAGCTGGTGGTTCTGGAACATCTGCTGGGCTTTCAGCCCCTGCTGATGAAGAGCTGGGTGCAAGAGTGTGGAGCAGAGATCACCTGCCACGTGGTGGCCCTGGCAGGTGGCTTCCTCCTGAGTCAGGCAGAGGAGCAGAAGGAGCAAGTCGGATTGCAAGTGAGAGACCTTCTAACCCTAACCTTAACCCACCTCCACCCACCCTCCGGTAGGCTCCACTTTCCTGCCCTTACAGTGGATCCTGGCACTTTGCACATAAGTCTTTGTATCTGTTTACTATTATACCATGATGAAAGCCCTAACAATTGCTCTCCACTTCTAGAGGGAACTGAGCATGCGCTGCTCTGTTCCACTAACAAGGGGGGGACAATGAGCGCATGCGTCCAAAGAGGCTGGAAGCGCATCTGCCCTTTATTTCTCTCCCACCCTACTGCTGGGAGTGAGAGGTGGGGCGTTTGCAGGACGCCCAGAGGCTGCTGGAAAATGTAGGCGGAGACGCGGATCCTGGCATGACTCCCGAGTTCCGTGAGCTGGATGGTTGAGTGGACAGGGGCCAAGTTTTCCTCTGGGGTAGGAGTCCCATGTTCCCCTGCCACTCTTTCCTATGGAGGGGCCAGGCGGCTGAGGGGGAAGCCCCCCTTTCCTTTGGAGCCTATGCGCGCAGGGAGGGGAAGGCAGGCTGAACCCTCCTGCTGGCTCTGGGTGCAAGGACGGGGGCTCGCTCGTGTGCAAGGACTGGAACAGGGATGCTGCTTCCCAGCCTTTTCCCCACGACCTGCGGGAAGGGGCTATTCCCGCAACGAAAGGAGGGAAATGTTGCAAGGACGGAGGTACAGCATTCGCACTGTGTGTCCCAATGAGAGTGATGCTTCACAATCTTGTTTAAAGCCTGGAAGTTGACCGGGGTGGTGCTATTGGGAAGAATAGAATAAGAAATAGAAATAATAGAAATAGAATAGAANTGGGTGAAATGAGGACCCAGGCTGTGGGGGCGATATGCTGACTCTGTAAACCGCTTAGAGAGGGCTGAAAGCCCTATGAAGCGGTATATAAGTCTTAACTGCTATTGCTATAATCTCGATACCCTCGAACTGCTTCTTTAATCAGCTTATCTTTATCAGCTTATCAGTGGTGCTTCTGACAACATTTCTCTCTTTAAATCCATCAATTCTTCTCTCTTTTCTTCTTCTGTGCCTTGCCATCTGGGGTAGAGTTCCTGCCCATCTAGCTCCCCTTTCCATCTTCCACTCCTTCCACTTCCAACCACATTCAGTTCACCGTAAATGTCAACAATTATCTTATCTTTATGCTCATTTTTCCCTTCGATTTTTAGGACTCCAGCCTCCACTTTTTCCATTTGATAAACATCTTCAAATTTTCCATCATATTTTGCTGTTATACGCTCTATGTTTTCCAGTCTCTTCTCAATTTTCTCTGATACTTCTAGTAATTTTTGAATTTCAAACATTATCTTTTGCAATGTTAAGATTTCTTTTTGATGTTGTGCCATTCTTCCAACTCGTAAACACTGCCACTAGCTTTCAAGCTGCAAGGCCTCGCACGTCGTGTTGTCGCGACATCAACTCCTCCTTATTGCATTACATTCTTGATTAAATTATCTTTCCATTGAATGTATAATTTTATGATACTACTCCAAGAAAAGGTGGTGTTATTAGCCATCAAACTTCAAAAACACACACACACCCGCAAAAAGTTTCCACAATTTTGGCCACTACTGTATATGGTCACGTCTTGTGCTTCTTAATCCAATCACCTTGCAGCTGAAGTTCTTTTCTTTTGTAGGTAGTCTGTCCCCATCTTTCTTAATGGGCACAAAATATCTGCTGGGGGCTATTAGGAAAGACTTGAGTCTGCTTTCTGCCTTGAAGAGTGTTTGAAGGAAAATCCATCTGGTTCAGTTCAAAGCTGGGAGAAAGATGCTGGAAACAACATGGAGTCTGATTGGAAAGATGGTTTATTGAATAGAATCACAAAGACAGTTCTGTCTTTGCAGTTCTGGGTCAGCTGAACAAAATGGCTGAATGAGTGGATGGATCTTTATAGGTTTCTGTGACTTTGAAGTTTGAACTGTTTTGAGGGTGGGGTAATGAAGGAGCTTTTGTTCTGAAAGGGTGTTGGGTAATTCATATTGTGGCTAATGGATTTAGTCCTGTGTTGGATCTTGGGTGAGGGTCTGCTTTCTAATCCTACCATTCTGCCTTTGCTAGCTGTCAAACTTTGCTGCAAGGGGGTTTCAAAATAACCTGTCTTGAATGGATTGCCAAATCTGCATTTCTAAAAGTTGGCCTCCTCAGTTTCTGCATTGGGGGCAGGAAGACTGGTGTAGATTTCTGCCTCCCTTAATATTTTTTTCCCATTTCTCCTTCAGGGAAAAATAATATTCCGCCTTTTTTAATATTTCCCAAAATGTTTCATCATTCTGAAATGTGAGGGGTGGGCGGGCGGTAGGGTTTCCAACAAGAGCATGTTTCTACATTTCTCCTTTAGGGGAAATATTCTATTCTGCCACTTTAATATTCCCAGAAATATTTCATTTTTCCCACACTGCTTCCCACACTGCTTCCCAGCCTTTCTCCACGACCGCGAAGGGGCTGTGCCAGCATAAAAGAAGGGAGGTGTTGCAGGGACGGATATACAAGTGGGGCTGAGATGCAGCATTGGGCCTCCTCCAAATTCCATCCGCCAGTCAGTGCCGACTGGCGACTACGCGGAGGAGAGCCTTCTCAGTAGCAGCTCCGACCCTTTGGAACG